GCGACCAAAAAAAAATTTTTTTCCTAATTCGTTAAATGTCATTTCGGTATCGGAGAGCGCGTCACATGTAAAAAATCTCGTGTTGGTATCGACCATGTTCTGGAAGGAAAAATGGCAACACAAATACTGGGTTCATATTATTGTTTCACATACGATATATCGCATGATGCATGTCACATCTTTGTTTTTAAAAGTCATGTCAATTCGACAAAGCACGATGACATCTAGTTTTGGAAAATGACATAAGTTTATTGTATTATCATTAAGAATAGACGAAGGAATGAATGACCACGCGACCCTTCGACGCTAAAATTCAAGGAGTTTTGTCGCATGATTTCTTAAATTCAAACACCTTATCATAAAATCCATCGATCATTTAAAATTAAAAGTTTTCCCTATCAGTATGGCAAGCGTGCAAATTCTGCCGAAAAAAACAAGGATAGCTTTGGCGACAGGTTTCTCTATGGACGATCGAATTCGCGGAAGGGATCGGCTCAGCACATCAATCAGTGAAATTCACGTGAGATCAGGGATCACACGAATGTCACAAATTGGCTGCATGTGCATCAGCTGAGGATTCTGGTGACAATGTTTTAACAACTACATTTGTAAATCTGGTGGGTGAAACTGGTATTAATTCTGGCAGATAAACTTTACCAGGTCGTGTGTCACGTCGATCGACTAGTAATTTGAACATTTATAACCTACAAAGAAATTCCTGTCAATAATCAATTGAAACTTTGTGTAACAAATCGCGAATCTCACATAATGAGTGATATTGTGTTTGCACAAGAGAGTTGGCGTCAGGTATGAAAGCCAAATGATGTTCTCGAGTGAGTCGGTCTCGCACCCGAGTTGATCGGGTGCAAAGTTTATGTGTACACGCTCATTGTTTTATAATGTCTCAAACGATCCCATTATGGAATGCGTTCACACACTGTTTCGTTTGGGAAGTTATGATACCATTGCATTCTGTTGTTTTTTTCAAACAAAGTTATATTAACTGTTAGAAAGTCTTATTGTCTGATAAGGTCGATCACGATCGTCGATGATAATAGTTTAAATTCCATAAAAGTAACATGACCACACCAATCATGAGTGTCGTGATAACACGTGGACACAGTGAAACAGAATATACACTATGAAAGAGAACATGTTGTTTCCCGAAGAAGCAACCAAAGAAATGGATGAAACATCTCCCTATCACATGAATCAAAGGTACCCGTCGTTCGGATTAACATTTATTCAGTTCGATGTGATTCCATGAAGTACTGCATCTGACTTGACTTTGTCATTTTCAATTCGGTCGCCAGTTAATGTCACCTTAATCCTGTTTTTTTTTTAAAAAAAAAATAACTGTCGGATAGAATCCACCTATAATGAATTATGTAATCCCGATAAGGTCCGAGGCTTTTTCTATGAACAGTATGATAGATAGATAGATAGAACAATGAGACCTTCGGAGAAAGGATAAATTGGCATTATTGCAAGAAGGTAATATCATTTGACCCCTAATCGGTATCACACAACACATACGTAAACAAGATAAATGAAAAAGCCGAATTGTTAATTAATTACTTGATAGATACGAATGTAAATTGTTCTAGTTGATTCCACAGGAATCTTTCTGTCTGGAATTTGATACCCAGGGATTTCATTTTCATTAATTAGAGTTTGTCGGTCAAACCAGCATTCTTTAATTGTACTCATTACACGCAATTCATTCTAGGCCTCATGATCAATGAAACAGGGTAAAAAGAAGAAAATTAGTACAGCTCGAAACCCCAGGAGTGACGAAATGTATGGATATGCATGACACGCATAAGGTGTTTTCTACTCAGGCGTCTAGTAATGACAAACAAGGTGTCGAAGAGAAAATCGATAAGGAGGATTACTTGTAAAGGACAAATATCAAAGCGATATATGCGATATGTTGATTGCATATTCGTTATCCTACACTCGCCATTCCGATTACCATAAATTTCCTTGTACATGCACGTACACACATCTTCAACCCATACGCGGTAAGACCATGCCAAGTTTGGAATTTTATATACATGCTAGTTTTTCACACGAGAGCGATGCTCGTCCTTGTGCTTGTCGTAGCAATTGATTGGCGACGAGACAGCGTGGGAGGTGGCATGTCAAAAAAAAGAAGCGTGGTCCTGGAGCATACATGCTAACATGCGACACATTGACTGTACATGCATGTAAAAAAAAAAAAGTATTCTTATCATATTCCAATATGGGGAAAGCCTTCTTACGGCTCAATGCCGTCACCGCATAAAAAAAACGGTTTTTTCTGATCTCATTCTTTTTTTAAAAAAACCCAAGTTTTTTCCTAAACCCACATTTCCCAATTCGTTAAACCATATTTTCTCACGTCGAAAATCAAAATCAAATTTCGAGTTCAAATTATTATTTATTATTTGTAATTTTTTTATTATTTGGTTTGATTTTTTCCGGTTTCGTTGTCATGATAAAGGGGTCGCCAGAATCATATATAACTTAAAGGGTATGGCCATGCACGAATGCAAGAATCAAATAAATTATTACTATTATTGTTCACTAGGAAATAATTTCGGAGGTAAAAGCGGTGTTAGATCTTAGACAACAACAATGAAATTCTTTGCTCGTACTGTAGTAAGAAATTTGAAGTGTAAATAAAGATTGCGGATACAAATTTGGAAGAATCTTAATCATTACATATAACTGAATGTCAAGTCTCACCCTCATTGTAACCAAAAATTTTCTGGCAACTAGAAATATGTACAAGAAGTGGAAAAAGAAAAGGGGATGAATCATAAATTGCATACTTGAATGTGTATGTGATGCATTCTCTTATTCAATTAGAATTTATACCCAAATCACTTTGTGAAGGGCATATTAATGTCCATTTGTGCATGCCATTAAAATTAATTGATTATAAAAAAAAAAAAGAAAGAAAGAAAGAAAGAATAAAAAAAAGAAAAGAATGCGTTGCCTTCTATATGTGAAAAATTTAAGGGAGTATAATACAGGTTTTGGTATCGAGGGTGTCAACAAATTTGGGTGGTTCTTCCATCGGCGAAACCGAGTCTCATCGCGAGCAAATAGATTTAATAATATCCTAGTGCGTATTTGTTACTTTCTATGAAATCCTTCACGTCTTTTTCGTCGACGAAAATATGTTTGCCAAGAAGCTTACGGAAATCCTTTTCCATTTCGTTAACCTCTTGAACGGTAAAGATACCGGAGATCTTGGCTAAATTGCAATTCGTAGTGTCCCATGTAGTTTGTGAAATGACATCGTCAAATTTCTCATCCCCTTCCCCATCTGAAGAAGAAAATGATGATGATGATGATGATGAAATCGAGTGAGGAGATGGTGGTTGATCGCGATCTTCGATTAATAGTGCCTGGAATGTACTCGTAAAAGGTAAATCTTCTACGGATGATGGAGGACTGAAATAGAGTCCGTTTTTTTGCGTCGAGTTCTTGGAGGCCACGAGAATGGCTGACAAAAAGAGTCTGTGACAGGTGCCTGTAACATTAACAAAGAAAAATGGGCGGATGGATTATTAATTAGGTCCTTCAAAGTTTAATTGAGACTGGCCGGATTTGGTTTAGCTCATTTGTTGTTTGTATACGCGCATGCATGAAATTGTATTGGATGGTCGCACAGAGTCATTTGTACAGAATACGCAGCTTCTGTGGACAACCACGAGACCAAACAACAATGACAGACATTCAGCAGCAATATCATAAGCCATTTGGTCGGACTTTTACTAAAGATAATTACCATATTCTCCACGGGCATTTTTCGGCAACAAACTCTTTAGCCTTGACAATAGGACCAATGCCACCATAGCCGTATTATAGTCGATGCCAGCTTTAGTCGTTACTTTTCCCACAAAGAGAAGCAACTCTGGTAGTGGAATGCTATCCCAATTTATTAGGGTGGGAGGTTGATTTGTGGCCAGAATCCCATTCAAAATTTCCGTCATAAATTCTAGTAGGGGAGCAACAAACTTCGTCACATTTGATGTTCATCTTCTTCAATACGCAAAACAAGTTGAATAAAAATTTTACCTATTGGTGGTATTTGGCTACTCATTTCGCGTGTTGTCGAGTTTCCGTAGTTAATAAAAGAGACGCAAGCCATGTAAAAATTATCCTTTCAGCGTTTCACGGAGTAGTCGAAGAAATGTGTTGAATGTAAAAAATCTGTGTTTTAATATATTTGAGTTTCGATATGTTTTGTTTTTAAAAGAAGGAAACCAAGCATGGTTTATATATTGAATTTTCTATGCTGTTTATTTTATTTATTTATATAGTATCATCTGTTTTTATTGTTTGTAATGAAACAGTACATAAAAAAATTTTTTGATGTAAACAAAATAAAAAAAAATAATTTTTTATATTGGTCGA